TGCAATGACCCACAGGGAGAACGGTTATGAAAAGATGGTTTTGGACTGGGATGGAACTGTTGTTCTTAATAAGCCATTAAAGCTGTAATCAGAGAGTAATAAAAACCCCCACAACAAAAATTAAATAGCTTCCAAAAAACCACATCAAGCTTGAAAGCCTTTTGGGGCTACATTCCTTTCCAGTGTGGTAAAAGCCTGGAAAGCTGAGGTTAGCCAAAGGTGAAGATCTGCTTCAGTTTTTCAGATACACCTTGTGGGTGCATTTAATTAAAACAATTCTTCAGTTTTTGTAGATTTCTTCTCTCTTGAAGAAATCAAGGAAGAGATACTTGATTCATTAGCCAGGAATAAATGTGATTTTCTTATTTCACCTGGAGAAGGTTAAAGGCACTGTCACACTTTCATCACTGCAGTTTTGTACTGTCATTAATAAAAAGCAGTGTTCTCACCAATGTTTGGAAATAGCTATTTTCCATCAGGAAGAGAGATTTCAGGATGTCAAGGGCTGGTGCAGGGCTATCAGTTTAAACAGGGGATGGGGTTAAGTGGAAAACCTCATACTAGACCAAGGACAGAGACAGATCCCAGCCTGGAGGAAACTCGACGAGCACAGCAAGGATGAGACCACGCCAATTTAAGCACCAACATTGACTCAAATATTCTACAATGCAAACAACATAAAAAATGAGGTTCTGACAAAGCCAGCTTGAAGCAAACATAGTGAGATGCAGCTCTGGGTCAGTTCTGTTATGTTCCTGAATCGACCAGTACTGAACAGCCCTTCTACTCTCTACCCTTCCCTAAGCTAAGGGCCATCAACAGAGTTTTTGTCTAAGTCCGACACCCAGCTGGTTGAAAATGTAAACATATTCATTTGCATCCTACATTCTTGGACCCAGACCAGAAATCAAAAGGCTGAGAAGTTGCTGGTTTCAAAACAGTATTTTTTTTACTGTTTCTGTAGGGCCAGAAGTAGTTGTATCATCTCAAACTGTTTTCTAACACAGCCTTGGATCTCACAATAATCCCTTTTTTTCTCTGTAACTTCTCACTATGAAAGACTGTGACCTCACAAACTTCATATCTGAATAATTCCAAAATCATGTGGAGGAGTTGAAACTGAGAAATCCAGTTTGCAGATGAACTGAAAACAACTAGAAATGGTAAAAGGTAGCCCAAGTAGATGTTATGAAAAGCAGAGCAGAATGCATGCAAGCAGAACAGCTAGTGTGACAAAGTACACAATTTTATAATGAATTTTACAATGTCACTCTTTCTGTATGCCTTGAGAATTAATAATTCACAAGGAAGAAACAGCAGCTTCAAAGCCTTGACCTCAATTACTGCTTCAGCAATTTTAACAGTATGTATTGCTCCAATGTTGGGAGTAAGCACTGAAAATGAAAAAAAAAAAAAAAAAAAATCAGAGTTGCACAAAATCCCCTAAAAATTCATGTATGCAGCACTAATTACTTCTAATGTGGCTAAATAGGGAAGAGGAAGAAAAGACAACTGCAAGTAAAAATATGCAGATCTTGTGATCAGTAGGAAGCAGTGGAACACCCAGTGGTGTCTGAAGAGCTTTTGGGGTGTTCTCTTTATCAAAATAAAGCCTCGCAAAATAAAATATAAAATAAAGCCTACTGTGCAAGAGTCTGGAGCACCTAGAGCCAGGGAATGTCTAGCACAGGCAGGAAAGGGCTGCACAAGACACATTTAACAAGCAAAGACACCAAGACCTGACTGCTCACAAGTGTGCAGACTCTCATCACTGCTCCCCACACTTTTCACCAGCCCAACCTGAGCAGCAGCCGAGGCCAGGACAGAGCCTGGGGTCTGCTCTGAGCTGGATGTGGCCACAGAGCCCACCTGGAGCCCTCCTGGAGGCTCCCTCCCAGCTGCTGTCAGCTCTGGTGACAGCACAGGATCTGATGTAGAGACTCTGCTGCTCTGTCTGATGTGATGGAAATCCATGTGTGTGTTGAAAAGCTCCAGGGATTGAGGGGACACATGGATGGACGGCATCACTGCATAAACCTGACTCCTCTGCAAAAAACAAACACTAAAAAGCAAAGCAGTTGTCAAAGGTTCATTTCAGTGAAGCTCCAGGACAAACTGAGTGAGGACAGAGCAGGAGAAGGAGCAGTGGGGGGAATGAACCTGTGAAAGGCTGAGCTCAGCAGGCAAAGAGCCACCACCATCTCCAGAGGTCCCTGCTAATAACCTCAGGGACTGTAAAACACCTCCTGGAAATGTCTCAAGGATGAAGTATTGGAAAACCGACAGCTACAGAGCAAACAACCCCTCTAATGTGATTCAGAATCATTTCACTTGGTTACACTGGCCATGAGCAAGAGAGAACAAAGGAATGTTTCTATCACGTCCTTTAACTTGCATTACATTACATTTAAAAGCAAGATTATTTTCATGCATCCTGACAGCAGCCTTGCCAACTTTTCCAGAGACTCCTTACTTTCATCATTATCCATAATTTTCTATTTCTTCAAATTATTCTGCTGCTGTTACAAGACTATCAGACTGACAGACTCCAACTTTCATCAGAGAACTGCAAGGACAGAAAACAGCAATGCTTTAAAAGCACCAGTGGCACTGGGCTGACACATCTCTCCACACCACAGTGACACACCAAACACAAGAACATTTTGTTAAAAGGACAGTTTTTGGTCTTGGGCTATGGAGGAGGAAAACATCAGGCTTGTCAACTCAGTATTTCCTTTACCCTCAGCTCCACAGGAGTTCTGTTCTACACCCAATAACTAATGTCTTGTATTTCAGTATGTTCAAAGCCAGATTGTTTAGCTTATAATAAATATATGGAGGGATTCCCCTCCCCTATCCAATTACATTTCTACAGTCTAAGAAACTTTAATCAAAAATTTACTTTAAACCTGAAGTGCCCTGCAGTTCTGAATCTTTCCCCACTCACAATAATTGATATTAATCACATTAAATTGATTGCTCCTGAGGATAAGGCAAAAACCTTCTTTTCCTTTTCACCTATTTTAGCAGCTATCTGTACTATAATGCCTTGTTCAGGGTATTACCCTCCTGATGACAACCTTTGCTTCTATTTTTTTAAAAGATGGCCACAGACTTTAATCACACGTGAGAGAAAATTTCCTTTCAGCCCAGGAATTATGGCTGGGATTGCCAGTAGAACACAGCAAATGTACCATGGGTGAGTGGCCACTCATGCTAAGCCACTGCCAACCATGAAGAGCAGCTCTCCCCTGAGCAGCACAAGGAGAATGGTTACAAAAACCCTCTTTTTATCAGGGTCAGGCAGTGCCAGAGGCTTCCGGGGAGGGTGCCTTATCCACCCAATTCAGTGGCTCAGACGTTGGTCTTGCACTGAGCTTCTTGCCCAACATCCTTTATTCTCTTTATCACAAGCCTGAAGGGTTGAAGTTTCCAAGAAGTAACAGAGAGAAAAGCCCTGGGATGAAAGTCTCAGCTGTGACTGCAGCACAGGCCAAGGTCAGCTCTGACAACCAGAAAAAGGATTTATTTTGCAGGCAGATTAAAAAATAAAAGGTAGATTGTCAAGATTAAAAAACTGGTTGCTTCTTCCCTTGTGCATTTAGCTCATCTGAGGAATTGGAACCTTTGGCACCTGCAAGTACAAAGGGCAGCACAGCAGAGAAAAGTTGTCTGCATTTACTCCTTCCAAAGTGATCCTGTCAGAGCAGAGATAAAACAGGTGAGAGAGGTTGTCTGTGTAGGAACATTCCAGCAAGAGTGAGACATGCAAGGAAAGGACAAGGAACAGAATGCAATTTAAATGTCAGGCTGTTCATCCAGGACTAAGATGATCCAAATGAATGCCTCCCACTGGTCCATTGTCCTACCCAGGGTGAATCATCTCCCTCTCCACAGCACTCCAATTCTCATCAGCAAAGCACCAAACACCACAACAGCTCACCATCATTTAAATTTAGTTTGGGTGGCCAGCAGTGCCATTTGTGGACATGAGAGTCTATTCTATTCACACAAAAATAAGTGTCAAGCCTAAAAATTCTAGAGTAAATCAACATTTACCACTTCATGATACTGAAAATAAAATTCACGTATTTTTGTTTAAACCTGTTTATAACAAAAGATATCAAAACGAAATCACTTACAGTTATTACTGAACACTGTAAGGAAAATCAAGACAAGGTGAAAAGCTCGGCTTGCCTGTAGCCAATGAAGAAAAAAATCTCAAATTTGCAGTGGTAAAACATCAATTTTCATTCCTGATGAAGCAAGTAAGAACCTTAAACAGATCATCTTTTTTGCCACCTGTTAAACCTTTCAGTGTTATCTGCCTATTTAGCTTCAAAAGTTTCAATTCACTCTCTGAATTTTCAGAAAATATGAAAAACAGAATATTCCAAATTTGCCCAGACCTGCTTTACTCTCTTCCCCTATTAAATGAAATCCCCATTTCTTTTTTCAGAGGGATTTCTGCCCAGGGGTTCATATGCTCAATGCTACTGAAGAATCCAAAGCAGCTGTTGTTTTGTGCATCAAGCACTGAAGGGCTGGGAAGTTAGAAGAGCTGGTTTTGAGTTGAGGGTTATGTTAATACCCCAGCAGGGTTAGATGGTTCAGGAATACAAGAAACCCAGCTCCCTGAGCTCACATTTCACTGAACAGCACCATTCAAACTTGCTTCTGTTGATGCAGCCAAATAAAACACAGCAGAAGCAATTGCCCAGTCCTCCAGGATAAAATCTCTGTAATCCAAGCACACAAAGTGCCTGACCATGAGCTGACATGGTGGAGAGCTCTACCTGATCAGGAAAAGTCATGATAACCTCCTTGTGATATCCCAGCTGAGGAAACACAGGGGATGCTTGATTAAAGGGCTCTGCATAGCCAGGGCTCTTAAACTGTTCCTGCAGAACTTGTAAAAAGTCTGATTTTTTTTCCTGTACAAAATCTGCTGAAATTAATGTGGCTGCTCCATCCCTGGAAGTGTCCCAAGCCAGGCTGGACAGGGCTTAGAGCAACTTGGGATAGAGGAAGGTGTTCCTGCCCATGGCAAGGGGGGGACCTGGATGGTCTCCCTCCAAACCACACCACTTTGTGACTCCCACAGAAAGTAATCTGGAGGTTATATGGTGAACGTTTTACTACTGCAACAAATATCTTTCAAGACAGCAGGAAGAAAAAAAATATTCTGGCATGGTAGCTTTTGTTACTGAATGATTCACACTCCTGACAAGGCAGGCAGGACATGATGACAAGCTCAAGTTTGCAGATAGGTTCCTTTCAAGTCTGCCAACAGAGGGCTGGAGTCCATGGAAAAGCCCCAATCCCTGACAACACCTCACTTGGCAGCTGGAACCAATCCCCTTTTCTCCTGTCACTTTGTCAAAATAAATGCAGGGCTAACCCAGGCAATACTTGAAGTCAACCATCAGCGTGGTGCCAGAAAAAAATTCCAGAAAATTGTGCTTACTGCTGATTTCCCACTCCTTTATGCCATGGTTAAGAGATCAAACTTTAATGCTTTGGGTTTTTAACCCCTTAAAAATAATTCAGCTGCAACTGTTCATGCCTTAGGAGCACCTTGCACACCCAAACCCAGAACACTGCTTCTCCAGCACCAGCTCAAACACAATAATAATAAAAATAAAATACTTTTAGACTACATTAAATTAAATTCAAGTAAATGTTTTTGAAGTATTTTCTCTGTTCTAAAGCAAGTTTTCCAGCTGCCTTGAGTCATCACTAAACTTCTGACATTTGAGCTTAGAAAATGGTAACAGTAATTATCAGAACTCCTCATATATCACTGTCACTGTTTGAATACAGAACTTTATAAGGATATGTGTGGAAAAATTTCCAGCTGGCTGTGATGGGAAACCATTTGCAAGGGTGAAAAGCCTGACAAAGAGAAGTGGGCTAAAAATAATGCGTGAATGAATTAAATGAGCATTATTTCTTACAAATTCCTTAGGGAAGGCATTAGAGAATGTACTTGGCCATTAACAACCCTTGGAGTGCATTCCCTGGCTCTAATCCAATAAAGAAATATTCAGATAGAAACATGATACAAACTTGGGTCATAAAGAGCTGGTCTTTGACTTCTGACCCACCCATGTGCTTTGGAATACCATGCAAAAGAAAAGCATTTCAACTGTTCTGTTTCTTCAGGGACCACTACCCATCACAGAACTCAGATTATCCACAATTATCTGGAATAGATAATGCTTGTTTAGAACTATTTCTAATGCTTTTTACCACAAATAACATCTCCTCTGAAATGCACAGTGACAGGATGCAGCATCCACAGACCATGATGTA